TGTCCCACAAAAGGACATCCTTCCCCAAGTCTCCAGCAGACTTTCCACCGTGTCTCACTGGCCAGAACTGAGCTACCTCCTCATTCTTAAACTGATTACCCAGCCCAGAAAATTGGTTTACCACAACTGAGTTAGAGTTCAGTGATTCTCAACCCCGACTGCTTGTCTTTTTTACAGCTTCTCACGTGATTCTAAAGGTCAGCCACGACTGAGAACCACCGAGTTAGACAAATCAGAATTACCCCTAACCACTTTTCCCTGAGTCACCTGGAGAAGGTATAGACCCTTGAACAAAATCTGGACTGGCAGAGAAAACATGTGGGCTGGGCAGACAACAGAATCTACACAACCACTTTACGTGTGTGTTTTCAATGACTGCCACGCCCTTTCAGTCAACCCTCAGGGGTTTCCCCAACAGGCCCATTTTACAAATAAGGAAACTGAGGCTGGAGATTAGGAAGTGAAATTCTTTCAAATCTTCCAAATTTTCCTGTTTCAAGACAACGGCAACTTGAGAAATTTCTCCAAAAGGAATTAGCACATGACCCATTTCTCGGAAACAATAAATGCAAAGACAGCAAAAGGGAACTTTTACGTTGTCCTGAGAACAAAGGAAAATTCATTAAAATAGCAAAGCCTAAAAGAAGTACTAAAACCAAGACTTGGAAGACCTCAATTCTAGTTCTGGCTGCCACTAACATGCTTCTCAATATCTGTGATAGGAGCAGGCTCACATATAAGGGCCCCTCCGGCTTTTCCCACTTTTCCCTCTTTTCTCTCATTCTCTCTCTCTCTCTCTCTTTCTCTCTCATACACACACACACACAGCTAGACAATCTACGCTTACTAAACAGCATTTTCTATACTCATGTAAGTGCTTAATAACTGTAAGAATTATTTGTTTTAAAAATATGTATTTTGGGCCCCAGCCGGTATGGCTCAGATGGTTGGAGCATCATCCTATACACCAAAAAGGTTTTGGTTCAATTCCGGGTCAGGGCACATTCCTAGCTGCAGGTTCAGTCCCAGATCCAGGAGTGTCAGGAGGCAACCAATCCATGTTCTCTCTCATAGATGTCTGTCTGTCTGTCTGTCTCTCTCTCTCCTCCCTCCCTCCCTCTCCTTTCCTCTCTCTCTCTCAAAATCAGTAAACATATCCTCAGGTGAGGATTAAAAAATAAAATTATAAAACTATGTATTTCCCTCTGGCATAGAAAATATTCTCTCAAGTCCAGCTAGTGTGGCTCAGTGGTTGAGCGTCGTCCCATGAACCAAGAGGTCACCAGTTTGATTCCCAGTCAGGACACATGCCCAGGTTGTAGGCCTGATCCCCAGTGGGGGGCATGCAGGAGGGGACCAATCGATGTTCTCTTTCATCGATCTCCCTCTCACTTCCTCTCTCTCTGAAATCAATAAAGGAAAAAAAATTAAAAAAAAGAATATATTCTCTCAAGAATACCTAATGTGCCCTGGGCAGTTTGGCTCAGCAGTTAGAGCATCGCCCCTTGGACCAAGGATTGTCTGGTTCGATTCAGGTCAAGGGCACTGGTCGTGCTGAAGGCAATCAATCAATGTCTTTCATATCGATGTTTCTTTCTCTTCTCTCTTAAGTTTCTTTCTCTTCTCTCTTTCTCTCCCTCACACTCTATCTGAAGATAAATAAATGGAAAAAATATCCTCGGGTGAGGATTTAAAAAAAAGAATGCCTAATGTGAAATTTATGAGAAAAGCATACATGGCCTATTGCAGTTTCTGGCAAACATGCCACAGGTTTCTACAGATCGTAGGCATCTGAAACTACACAGACATCAAATGAAAGGCTCACGAAAGTTTAAACTGTATTGAAAGAGGACACTGGTTATTCTAGGAAAGGAAAGGACTAAAAAGCCACTTAAACAAAGACTCCATTGAATTGAGTGAATGGTCTCCCACTCTACCAGTAAGTCAATGATCCCAGACTCTTCTTCCTGGAGCTGCTCCCTACCCTCATTGCTATCTCCACCCCCACAGATGTCACACACTCTCTCAGCCATCTCTCCCATGACGCCTGGCTTCTGCTGAGAAACCTTAGGCCGTTCCCCACAGGACCAAGTCCACATTCCCAACATAACTTCTATGGACCTCCATAATCTGAAACTGACTTTCCCATTCATCCCATTCTGCTCCCCAAAATGAAATTTCTACTCCAGCCAGACTGGTCTCCTCCTCATCCTCAAACACTGTGGTGTTCTGATTTCTTCTCAGCTGTTTCCAATCTGACAAGGTTCTATTCCTTATGTAACACAACAGTGAGTTCCCAAACTTCCAGCAAATCTTCCCCACTCTAACCTACAACTCACTCTTGTTCCTGGCCAAGTTAGAAGACTGACTTATCACTGAATTATTAACCTTTTACCATGAGTGTCTGTGTATCCTCTGTGTCTTCTAGAACTTAGCACAATACAAAGAGAACATGTTCCCTAGACTGAACTTTATTCAACTCAAGGACGATGAACTCAATTACCTCTCTTTTATCTCAATCCCAATATTTAACAAATTGTAGGTGCTAAGTACTTTCAGATTGCTACATAACTGAACCTAGCAGTAAGCCTTCAGGTACCACAGAACCCCCTCCATTATCTTTACATATTTATGGAATATTCAAAGCATCAAGACATCAAAATTACATAATCCCATAAGTATTTAGTGCATGCAGGAGGTATCTACAGGATAATTAAAAACAGAAATCACTCAAACACAATTCTGAAAATGCACAAAATGCCATCTTTGCAAAAACACTGTAAAACACCTCAAAATATAAGCAGTCTGTCCTAGTAGATCGTTATCCTTGCTGCAGCTCCTCCCTCCACCTCCTGTCCTTCTTGTACTTATTGACTCTCACATGTTATGGAAAAGCTCAACTGGTTAGGCAAATGATTGACCTAGGCTGCAATTTCCAATGAACTAATCAAGCAATTTCCAGACACTGCAAAACCTTACTAATGCCTCTTAGAAGTAGGACAAGAGAAACTGGACACAAAAGAATTAAGTAACCTGCCCAACTGTCATGTAGCCAGGCCCTAACAGTGAAGGCAAATTCAACTCAATGCCCTGACTCAAGTCCAGTGCTCTTACTCTTTAATAGGAACTAGAAGTAAAGTTTACGGAGCAAGTTGGGCAATGGCAGTGTCTTCCTAACTTGACAAAAGCTTGTGAGTTCAAGCTGTGTTCTTATCATCTTCTGGGAAAGAATTTAAAATAATTAAATATGATGAGAAAAAGGATCTTTCTGATTGATCTTAAGCATGGTTATAAACTACGTTTCTTATGATTAAGGATAAGAATCAAAAGGAATCTGATACCAATTTACAAATTCGCGAAAGTCTACATTCTGGGGAGGAAAGTTGACAGCTGGCCCCCCAGATGCACTAGCTGCTGCTGGAACACCAGGCATGTGTCCTGTTTGGCAGAAGAGCTAATATGCAGTCACATAAATAGCTTTCTACCAGTAGCCAAACTGGCTTTGCCATCTGTCTCATCTTGCCATCTCTCTCCTGGGCTCCCTAGCTCCAGAGGGAGCTGCTACAGCCAGTAGGAAAGAAGGTACACTCCGCCAGCTAGTGACACTGGTTAACACCACTTCATGATCACTGTGTATGTGCTTGCACATACACACACTGCCTGTCTCCTGGCCTCTCTGCCTTTCTACACTCACTCCTACATATTTACAGCCCCACCCAAACATACCCGGTGCCAAGGCACTGGTCACTGGACAGCCATCAACCAAATAAGCCCACTAACCACATGTCCCAAACAAAGTGATTCCCAATCATTCTGCAACATCAAAGAGGTCATAGAGCCAAAAGGAACCTTGGGCATTATCCAGAGTACTTGAGTGACTTGCTTCCAAAATTACAAGGATGGCTCACTAAATTCTTCTCATTATACCTTATTTCAACATATTCATTAAGTAAATACTGTTCCGGGCACTGTGCTGGGGACCTGAGGCAGTTTGTTCAGTATGATTAACCTTCCTTCCATGAAGGGGGCAGTGACATGGGATATTTTTCCTAGACGTGATGGTTACAAAAGTCAAACTCACAAGGCAGGAAATTACTGAACTGAGAAATGAGGGAAGAGATAAAGACCCTAACACAGGTATTCGAGGCTGGATATTGCCCCCACCCTTGTCTGCTGTATGAGCATCCTATGAATGGGCTATGGGTTACAGGTGTGGTCACGCTGCCCAGCTTCTCACTGGAGCTAATACCTCCCCCATTAACAGCAGCATCACCAACTCAGTGTTCCAGCACGAATTTCAGCCCACCTCCCTCCCAGAAAGACTGTTCTCAGGTACTCAAACAGATACACTACACACACACACACACACAGACGCACTTTCTTCTGTGGCTACTTCACTTCCGAGTCTTTCAAAAGACAGATAAGAACTAGGGAAGAAGGCTTCCCGGTTGGTGGCCGGGGCGGAATTCCCTGTTTGCAGGCAGCCTCACGAGCCCATCTCTGACCCCTCCTCGGAGCAGGAGGAGGGAAGGAATGCACGGAAGCTGCAGGACGCCAGGTGGACTTTCTGGTTTAGCACAGCGAAGGACCTGGGACGGGACTGACCGGGAAGATCAGAAATTGACAAGGGAAGGGTGCAATTCAACACCCAGCAGGTTTTCAAAGAACCCTCAGGGAAGTGCTTCTGAAAGATAACAAGACAAAACTAGTAAAACTGTTGTTTCTGTTTCGTGGGAGACAGGGAGCAGCTTTAGGGCGCAGTAAAACCTGCCCTTGGGCAGACGGGCGGGGGACTCGGGCGCCGAGGGGCACCCTGGTCTCCCACGCGCGGCTCCTGGCCCTGGCCGCCGAAGCGGGGTAGGAACGGGAAAAGACCCCCGGCCCTCCCAGTCCCCAGCGAACCTCCTGCTCCTCCGGCCTCGGCCCGGGCACGCGACTGCCCGTCTCCCCGTGGAGGCTCCGCCCCGCCGCAGCCCACTCGCGCCCAGGTCCCCGCTTACTTTTGGTCGCCGCGATAAGGTTCTTCCCGTCCTTGATGAGCTCTTTGATGAACTTGTTGGTCCTCTCGAGCTCCGCTTCGTGGGCGCGGATCCTCTCTCTGAACCACGGACTGTCGAGGTAGCAGTCGCTGAATTCCAGGGGCTGCAGCCCCATGACTGCAGGGTCCGCGCGCACGGCCAGCGAGCCGCCCGCCCGCCCGCGGCGCGCTACAGCCAGCGGCCTGGGGCGGCGGCCAGGTGCAGCCGCGCGGGCAGGAAGTGCCGGGAAAGCTAGCAGCCCGGGGCGCGCGGCGAGCGCGGCGTGGACATGTCCCTTGGAGCAGAGGCCGGCGGCAGGGAGGACTCGGCGCCCCACTCCCGACAGCCCCGCCGGAGCTCCGGTGCCCGCGGCCCCGCCCCGCTCGGCCCCCGCGCCCAACGCCCTCCCCAAGGCCGAGGCCGCCCCGCCCCGCCCCGGGCGCCTCCCGGCCCTCCCCGCTCGCCCCCTTCTTCCTCCGCCTTCTTTCCTCCTCGCCTCACTCCCTTCCCTTCCTTTCCCCAGACGCCTCTTCCTTCTCTTCCCTACCGCAGTTGCCCCTCCTCTTCCTTCCGAGGCTCCCTCGCTCTGCCAGTGGTTCTCAGCCTTCCTAACGCACGATCCCTTAACGCGGTTCCTCCTGTTGTGACCCCCAGCCATAAAATTAGTTTCATTGCTACTTCATAACTATAATTTTGCTACTATTATGAATCACCATTGGAAATACTGTTTTCCGATGGTCTTAGGCGATCCCGAGAAAGGGTCGTTCAGACCCCCAAAAGGGGTCGCGACCCACAGGTTGAGAATCGCCAGGTCTAGAGTCTAGACCTTGGTCCCTTGGCTTTCCTCCACCCCCAGGGCGCGTGCCCCTCCCCTTTCCTTCGGATCTCTTTTTGGGGGTGATTCACTGTAGGCTCCCCAAGCAGGGAACTCGACCTGGACAAGAAGCAGAGTCTTAATAGCAGTCTCTAATCCCCGCAGCCGGACGACATAATTCACCGGTCTGGCTGACTCATTTCATTTATCCTGGAACGGACCCTCAGCTATAAATGGACTCGCACGCATGGCTCTCTTTTCTTTATTCACGTTCCCTTTTACTTAAAGTAAAATGCATATTACATCTCCGCTTTAGACCGAAACCCTTACAAAGGCAGGCAGCGTTTTCTTGGGGGCCTGCAGGTATCCACACTGAACGACTTGGGAGGCACGGGGTGGCTAAACCACCGAAGAGTTGTTTCTATTGTATTCCGCAGATTATATTTGCTTGGGTAGGTAGAGACGATCTTTATTGCTCTAAAAATAAGCACCAGAAAACAAATGGAAGGTTGTGTGTGGTTTTCACCAGGTGGGTTAACAATCAGACAAGAATTTGTCAGATGAGACTTTGTCAGTGTACCTGGAAGAGTTAACTATTCCGTGTGTTCTGAAACAACTCAAATATGTCCCTAAAAAAAGTTAAGCCTTTTTAAATTATTGATATGTATACCTAAAACAAATAAATTGTTCATTATAGTAACTTCTCACAGTGGCAACTAAAAATGTATTACCCAATTATTATGTGCCAGGCACACACTAGGAACTACATTTTTTAACAAGCTCACAGCATATGTTTAAATATATGGTTTTACTAATAATAATGTTAGTATCACTAAGAAACTTCAAAGTGATTATTCAAAACTGTTCAGTCTGGGAGCTGGGTAATTAAGAATCTGTTTGGATAGCATGATGTAGGAGTGTAACCCTCAGGACCAAGTTAAATAAGCCTCCTACTCAATAAGCTCTTTTGTTAAAAAACAGCACGGTGAGTGCCTAACCCAGAGATAAACAGATAAACATTATAACTTTAATGTTTGAGCTTCAGAGAGCTCAAAATGTTTTACAAATAACTTTTAGGTGTTGAAAGCTTCAGTCCCCTACTAAAATCAGCAGGGTGGCTGGAGTCTACAGAGAAGAAAATAAAAGGCAAATAAGTGGGAAGGACACTCAAGAATAGAAGGGATGTAAACACCGAGGGCCTGACAAAACAGCCAAACACTGACAGGTACTCAATCTTCACGGCAAAAACCTAAACTTCTCCTCATAAGGAAAGGCTGTTGACACATCCTCCGAGTGTTAAACATAGGGTTAACACATGAGCCAGCAACTCCACTCCCTGGTAGATCCCCAAGAGATATGAAAACATATATACTTGTTCATAGTAGCATTGTTCATGATAGTCTAAAAGTGGAATCAGCCCAAAGATCCATCAGCTGATGAACAGAGTAACAAAATGTGTGTATCCATATAATGGAATATTAACCTACTATAAAAAGGAATGAAGTACTGATGCATGCTACAACACTATGAATCTTAAAAGTGTGATGCCAGCCCTGGCCGGTTTGGCTCAGCGGTTGGAGCGACCGCCTGCGGTCCGGAGAGACCCGGGTTCGGTTCCCGCTAAGGGCATGTACCTTGGTTGCAGTTTGTCCCCGGCCCTGGTTGGTCGTGCGGGTGGCGGCCACTCGATGTGTCCCTTTCACATCGATGTTTCCCTCTCTCTCTCTTCCTCTCTCTCCCTCCCACTCTGTACAAAAAATGGAAAAATGTCCTCGGATGAGGATTAAAAAAAAAAAGTGTGATGCCAAGTGAAATAAACCAGTCACAAAAGACCATGTATATTATTCAACATGAAATGTCCAGAACAGATAATCTATAGAGACAGAAAGTAGATTAGTGGTTGCCAGGGGCTGGAGGGTGGCATAGGGGTAGAGTAAGGTGTTTCTTTGGGGCGTGATGAAAATAATTTAAACTTAGATTTTGGTAGTGGTTGCACAACTCTGTGAATATACTAAATATACCCATTAATTATATACTTTAAGTGGGTCCATTTTTTTTGGTGTGTGAAATATATCTCAATTTTACAAAGGGGTTCAGAACTGCCCCTCCTTCCTCCCACTTTCCACTCCCAGCCACAACAACTCTGGTCCATTCAATGTGGCCAGTTCTTTAGATATTTGGACCAAAACAAATTGTTTAAAACCATTTCACAACATTGCAAAAAACTTTGTTATTGTGCCTTTACACACACACATGCACCCCCAAACAATGTAAAACAGCAGGTGGATATGAACCTTAATTTAATACTAAATAAGTCTACCGATTGCCAAGAGTGGGAGGGCCTAATTCGTTTTGTTTTATTCAATTACATCTTGTACTGTGCCTGGTAGAGATTATCAGTAACTGCAGAATGAGTAAGAAGTGTGACCAAGTGAAGACAAAGCTTATGGTACAGTGGAAAGACAGAAATTTAGGAGCGCTGCCCTGCCGGTGTGGCTCAGTGGATTGAGCATTGTCCCACGGATTGAGAAGTCCTGGTTCGATTCCTTGTCAGGGCACATGGCAGGGTTTGGGGCTTCATTCTCAGTAGGGGGTGTGCAGGAGGCAGCCAATAGATGTTTCTCTCTCACATGGATGTTTCTACCTCTCTCTCCCATCCTCTCTCTATAAAAAAGTAAAATCATTAAAAAAAAAAAAAAAAATTAGGAGCTCCAAGTCAGTTTCACTACTTAACAGTTGTACGACCTTGGCTAAAGCCAATTTTCTCTAACTCCCAGTCTTGCCATCCATGAAATGAGGTTGCAGTTGCAGGCTGTTTGAGATTTGATGAAACTGTTTGTAAAGCACCTGTTGAAAGTTATGATGCTGAAGATGAGAAGGAGGAGGAGGCTGGGGAGGATGGGCTAAAGAGAAGGAGGAGGGAAAAGGAGACAGAGATGAGGATTACATACTGTCGGTATGGAAAAGATATGGGGGCGGGGGAGCCTCCCCCTGAAACCAGAGAATTAAACCATATAAGACAGAATTCAAGGAAAGTGATCACAAAAGCAGATGCTACTGGGTGCCCACATCTCATCTTTGTTTCATTAATTCATTCATTCTTCCCACAAATGTTTGAGTTTCTAAATGTGTTAGACACCGTACTAGGTGCTGGCGATGCAGCAGTATACAGAAGTGTCTGTCCTCACTGTGCTTTTGGTCTTTGGAGAGAGATTGACACTGTGCTCCCCCCAAAATCAAACAAGTGTGTGTGTGTGTGTGTGTGTGTGTGCGCGCACGCACGTGCGCTCACGCGTGTGTGGCATGCAGTAGAAGAAGGGGTAAGAGACTACAATTCGGGGACCTGATGTAAATTGGGAGTTGAGTCAAGGAAGACTAAATGAGGAAGTAATTTCATCAGTGACCAGAAAAGTCAATAGGAGGTGACCATTAAATAGGGGGGATGTGCAGAGTAGCCCAGGCAGGGAACCAGCTTGTGCAAGCCCCTGGAATGGGAAAGAGTCAGTGCACTGAAGAGACTAAAAGAGAACAACAATGGGAGAATAAAAGGGCGGACATCTGGCCCTGGCCAGTTTGGCTCAGCGGTTAGAGTGTCGGCCTGCGGTCCAGAGAAACCTGGGTTAGATGTCCACTAAGGGCATGTGCCTCGGTTGCTGCTTGTCCCTGGCCCTGGTTGGGTCATGCGGAAAAGACAGCCACTCGATGTGTCCCTTTCACGTCGATGTTTCTCTCTCTCCCTCCTGCTCTATCTGAACAAAAAAAAAGGGGGGGGGGAACAACTGTAATACTCTCAACAATAAAGATAATAATAAATAAAATAAAATAGAAGGTCGGGGGCTGAAGTGCAGTCAGTGAGAGACACTGACCCAAGACAACTCTGGTGGTGGAAGGCAGGCAGGGGTCAGATCTTGCAAAGCCTCCAGGCCACATTTAGGATTTGGGGTTGTATCCATATCCGAATGCTATCAGGAGGCTTTAAAGAGTTTCAGCATGGTGGTAATGTGAACTGGTTTCTGTGAATGGAAATCCAGAAGGAAGTCTTTTAGAGTTGTCTGGGTAAGAAGTGGTATAGCTTTACCCTCCAAGTGACGGTGGAGATAGACAAATCGGCAGATCACAATATATTTTAGAGGGAGATCCTGGGACGTGACAGTGGCCTGGATACAGAAATGAAGGAGAAGGCGTCAAAGATGAGTCCAAGACTTCTGGCATGATAAGTTAGATAGATGGGTGTGAACGTAAGTGAACGTTTACTGAAAGGAAAACTTGGGATAAGAAATAAACGTGGTGGTGATGGTGGTGACTGAGATGGGCAAGATGAGTTTCAGTTTCAGATTCATTAAGTCTGGG